GGTTTCACAGATTGTGTTGTCTCTAAGGGCTCTTCACATCCCGGGACGGGAGAACAGGGGGGCCGACCTCATGTCAAGAGGCGGACCCCTGCCAGACGAGTGGAGGCTTCACCCGGAGGTGGTGAAGCAGGTCTGGACTCAGTTCGGTAGAGCAGAGGTGGACCTGTTCGCCAATTGGCGCAACAGCCACTGTGCCCTGTGGTTCTCCCTGGCTCGGTGGGACAACCCGCCCTTGGGGGTCGACACGTTTGCACACGAGCCATGGCCAAGAAAGCTGCTTTACGCCTTTCCACCGCTGCACCTTATCCCCCCCCTCCTGGAGAGGGTGAGGCGGGAACAGCTGTCAATCATCCTGGTGGCCCCAGATCGCCGCCTGGCGCCGTGGTAACGCGGGGGTAACACAGATGATGGTGGGCCAGCCCTGAGCGATTCCTCAGGTCTGGGGAGCGCTGTCTCAGGAAGCAGGTGCAATAGGGGCGTTACCCACTCTGGGCCAACCTCTCCAGGCTTGGCTCCTGAGAGGGACAGGCTGAGACAGGTGGGGCTGTCTGATAACGTTATTCAGACTATCCAAGCAGCAAGAGCAGAATCCACCACAGCTTGTTACAGGCCAAAGTGGGCGGGATTCCGGCGATGGTGTGAAGGAAGGAGTCTAGAGCCTCTGTCGTGCACGCTGGGCTCTATTCTTACCTACTTACAGATACTGGTGGACAGGGGGCTGGCTCATTCCACAATTACTGTAAGGTGTATGCAGCAGCCATTTCGTCCTGCCATGAGGGATTTGGAGGCAGGTCAGCCTTCAGTCAGCCGCTTATGACGCGGTTTTTGCAGGGGGTCAGGAGGCAGCGCCCGGTAGTGCACGCCTCCGCCCCGCAGTGGGACCTGCCGTTGGTGCTCGAGGCTCTGGTCACAGAACCATTTGAGCCTCTGGAGCTTTCCTCCCTAGTAGCACTGTCATGGAAGACAGCATTGCTACTTGCCTTGACTTCGGCTAAAAGAGTGTCCGAGCTGACCGCTCTGTCGGTACACCCAAGTTGTCTTTTGATCCGGGGTGACCGTAGCGGGGCGACACTCAGGCCGAACCACTCCTTTACTCCTAAGAGTATCAGAAGTTCATTCAGAGCAAGGGCTATTCAGTTAGGTGGCTTTAATCTTCCACCCCATATTGGGGCCAGGGAGGCTAAATTGCACTTCCTCTGCCCAGTGCGTGCGCTAGCATGCTATGTAGAGCGCACGGCTGCCATTAGGCGCACTGAACAACTGTTTGTGTGCTTTGGGGATGGTGTGGCTGGAAAAGCCCTCTCAAAGAAGCGCCTAACAGGATGGCTATGCAGGTGCATTACACATGCCTATGGACGGGCGGGGAGAGCCCTCCCCACTGGGGTCCGTGCACATTCTACACGGGCTGTGGCTGTGTCAACAGCCTTATTCAGCGGCGTGAGTGTAGAAGATATATGCACGGCGGCGTCTTGGTCTACGCCAGGCCCCTTCATAAAATGTTATCCCCTGGACATGTCTGGCTCCTTCTCGTCGTCGGTGCTTGCCGAGGCAACGCATGACTGGTGAGAGGGGGGTGGCTGTGGGTCAGCAGGTATCTGACCCCCCCCCTGGACATAAAACACTTGTGTTTTCCCATGCTCCTGAGGGACTCGGGAGACATGGTGTACAATCAGCCCCATACAGGGCTGGAGGACTCTCCCCGCCTGCCCATGGGCAGGCGGGGAGAGCCTTCCTCACTATTGTCCATGCCCACTCTACACGGAGCGTGTGTGAGTGTGGGGGATGTGGTGCACTTATGTTTTCCCATGCTCCTGAGGACCTGGGGAACATGGTGCGCGGTAGGCTCCAGACGGAGTCTCCGCACAATTTGTTTCCATGCACACTCTACACGAGGTAAGCGTGTGTGAGTGTGCCTTATCCAAGTTGCGGCCCCGACTTCTCCACGGTTACAACCGGATGGGAGGAAGTGGGGATGCAGTGGATATTAGCCAAAAGCCGGTCAGGGACGGTGTGGTGGGTCGATGTTGTTGGACGACAGGGCGTTTATACATCGGGGCTCCGCCCACTGTACCCATAGAGTCCAGTAGAGGGCGGAGCCTGTGAGAGATATAACGGGGGGTTACGTATTGTAACCCTAGTTATATAAACACAGGCGGAGCCCTCTACCTGGAGGCCCTGTCTTTCCTAGTCCGCTCGCTGAAGAGTGTATACGATAGTGGGGCGGCGGCTGGAGCCGCCTTATATACTGTGGGCCTGCGCGCGCATTCAGGTAGGCTCGCCCCGATTGGCCGGCTACGTTTACGTAAATTCAGTAGGTGAAAGCACGCACAGCATGATAGAGAGTAGTACCCATAGAGTCCAGTAGAGGGCTCCGCCTGTGTTTATATAACTAGGGTTACAATACGTAACCCCCCGTTTTGAACATTGCAGACTGAAACTCAGCGCTAACTTTTATATGTTCTGCCTTGGCTCCAAAAACCATTACCTCAGTTTTATCTTTATTTAATTGGAGAAAGTTCTGACACATCCAGTCATTGATTTGTTCAATGCACTTACTCAGTGTTTTAATTGGAGAATAGTCTCCTGGTGAAATGGTTATGTAAATGTGGTGTCATCCGCATAGCTATGGTAACTTATTTTGTTGTTTTTCATTATCTGAGCCAGTGGTAGCATGTAGATGTTAAAGAGAAGAGGCCCCAAGATGGAGCCTTGAGGAACCCCACATGTCATATTTGTCAACTCAGATGTGTATTTACCTATAGAAACAAAGTTGTTTCTGTCCTTTAAGTAGGACTCAAACCAATTTAGAACTGTTGCCGAAAGTCCCACCCAGTTTTCCAGTCTGTCTAGTAATATGTTGTGGTCAACAGTGTCAAACGCAGCACTGAGATCTAATAATACTAACACTGAAGTTCTGCCACTGTCTCTGTTTAAGTGGATGTCATTGAACACCTTTACAAGAGCAGTCTCAGTGCTGTGGTTTGGACGAAATCCTGACTGGAACACATCCAAACAGTTATTTAAATGCGAGAAATTACTCAACTGTTGAAAAACAACTTCTTCAATGATTTTACCTAAAAATGGGAGGTTTGATATGGGCCTGTAATTGTTCATTACTGAAGCATCTAGATTATTCTTTTTTAATAACGGTTTAATGACTGCAGTTTTCAGGGCCTGTGGAAAAACACCTGAGTGAAGAGACTTGTTTACTATATGAAGTAGATCTGAGGCCATGCAATGAAAAACTTTGTGTCCATTTGTGTCATAGGTCTCCCATAATCAAAACATTCCTCAGGCAGGTGCAGTGATACTTCTTCATGGTTTTCTGCGCGATGTGTTGTGTCTTTCTCTTGTTTTGATTCCTCTTGTTGCTTGTCCTTGGCAGAGGGAACAGATTGATGATGCAGGCAGTTGACTATGTTAGAGATAAACAATTTTACTCCTGACTTGTTCAGGCAAATTCCATCTGCCTTAAAAAGATGTCTGCAGTCCCAGAAAAAGTTAAAATTGTCAAAAAAATGTACAGAATGGTCAATACAGGCAGTTGAAAGCCACTTGTTCAGTGCAAACAATCTGCTGAATCTCTCCACTCCTCTTCTGACTGGCGGTAGAGGGCCACTGATGAACACCTCCGCATTTAGAGAGCTGACAGTTTCCAACAGACATTTAAAGTCTTCTTTCAGCCCTTCTGACTGTTGTTTCACAACATCATTTGTTCCAATGTGCAGTACCACATTTTTCACAGTCGGATGTTCAGCCCCAATATGCAGGATCTTCTCAGCCAAGTCAGAGACCATATCCTTGGGAAAACCGAGTACTTTGGTGTTGTTCTTACTACACAGACTTTGTACATCTCTTACAGCAGAGTCACCCACAATCAGAGTTTCAGGCCCAGTTGTTAGCCTTCCCTCAAGGCTTTTACTTTTGGAGTAGCTATTGGTCCTTACCCTGCTGTGTAAAGAGGACAGGTTATCCAACTCATCAGAAAGAGATCTCTGGTTCTGTGTCAGTGTAGCGTATCTGTTCTGGATTGGCACACTCAGTGGTTTAGCAGGATTGTTTGTAGTTCTCCCTTTAGCAGCTGTCCACGACTGTTTCCTAGTATGAAGAAGGGTTGAAGAGGCGCTCTTCCTGGGTGATAACAATGCAGGCCAGCCGGTCGCATCACAGATTTCAGAGCGCTGGGCTCTGCCTGTTATTCGTCCTCCCACGCTACTGTAAGACTGAGGTCGTCGTAAAAATATTGAAATATGGCTGAAAGCCTCCGTCTATTTACGAAGAATAACTGTCCCAGTGATAAGTTAATGTCCAGGAGCCACTCCTCGAAGTTTTCAGAAAAGAAAAATAGAAAATCAGCATAAAAAAGTAAGCAGAGGCAAGAGCAAGCAGAAAAGCGTCTGCACTGTAAGAGGGGGGGCAGTACTCCCATAAGGCTGACCAGACGGGCGAAGACGCTCTGAAGGACGGGTAGGAGGACGAAGGTCGTGACAAGAGGGTGGACCAAAATGCAGGAGACAGGAATTTTAAAACAGAAAATATTTTTATTTTACTCTTGGTCCGAACGAGGCAAAACAGAAAATAACTTCTCGAAAATACAGAAATTCCAACAATGGCTAATCATTATCTGGATTTTACGACGTATTCATGCAAAACAGTCAATTAAAATGTCAGAGAGGATTAATGAGTCAGGTAGATTAACATATATTAAACTAGAGTCCCCCTCTGCCCCTACTCTCTCTATAATGGTGGTTGTATTTTGGACTCTATTTGAACAAGGGTGATGGAATCCACCCTAAAATCACCCACTGGCTATATAAATAAACTTAAATATTACCACAAGTGATTAATACGTTGTACTGATTCAACCATTAAGCTGTAATCAACTTGATTATAAAGTATAATAATTACAATTAAAGGTCACTTTTCTGGCATGAAAAACAAATGCAGGCATGGAGTCTGTTTCTCTGGCCACCACGGTGACTGAGATAGAGGAGTTTGGTTTTTCTGTAAGTTTGGGGCTCTCTGCTGGAACTGCTACCTCCGCGACCCGACCACCGATGAGTAGGAGAAGATGGATGGATGGTCTTGGTTACAAGTTGGAGAATGAAGCACCATGTTTCATGCCGCCGTACAGATTCTCCCTCAGAAAGACCAGCATCTTCCTCCAGGCGTCTTCCTGAGCGCGAGAATGTGCCACCAGCTCTCCGCCCCACAGAGCCATCACTGCAAAGACAACAAGCTAAACTATAACAGTCAAAACTCAAAGTCCTAAATGTAAGCACCCTAACTTTGATTCACTGAGAAATACAGTACTGTAATACTACCTGGTACAAGTGTTTGTCAACAGCTTTAAAATCAAAACAGCTCCACCTGTTAAAAATATGCTCAAAGATTGTTGGTCAACCCTGTTATAGACTTTATGACTCAGCCTTTCATAACAACTTAATAAGGCTGTCCAACAACATCATCTCGGACACAAACCATGTTCTGAACAGAAAATATGAACTGCTACCATCTAATGGGAGATACAGGGTCCCACGATTCAATAAAGTCAGACTGAAGCATACTTTGTGCTCCAGTCAATCCTCTCAGTAAATACAGAGCCAGATGAAATGCACGCTAAAGGGTCTTTGAGCATGTTTTCTCTCAGTGATTGTGCTGTTATGTTAAATGGTTTGTTTTTTTCATGCATTGTGTCTTGATATTTGTCTGTTGATGTTACACATGGAGCTGCTGTGATGCAAGTCACATTTCAGACTTGATCTGACCATTAAAGTATTATCGTATCCTACCCTTGGTTGGTGGGTTCGCGACCGTTTTGAAGGTGCTGGCTCGGGCGAACGGCATGAATGGAGGTTCGATCAGGTGACCGGCATTCTTATAGGAGAGGACAGTCAGAAGGTGGCTGTTCCCCGCCCGCTCCATCATCTCTTTCATCTGCAAAACAGGAAGTTAAACACATAATAATCTCATATGTCTTAGATCATCTCACAACCTTTTTTTTTTTACTTCTTCTATTGTTTCTGTTGCCATCATCTCTTAACTGTATATCTCGGGCCACACTGCCTCCAATGACCATCAATAATATAATGATAAGCTTCAACTAAATAAAAAAAGTAATTAATATGTATTTTAGACTGAAAAAGGTTGCATGTGCTCACTGTTAAATAATAATGATGACCCACAATTAAAAGCAAGTACTATGATAACGTATAGAGCCGTGCAAGTCCACAAAATTATCCTGCAAATATTTCAGTCCGCTCACAATGCCCTGTTTTGAACGAGATCTTAGTGAAATATTATGCCAGCTTATTAACAAAACGAAAAACATTTGGTCCGAGAAGAGAAAAACATAAATGGGTTTAAATTTGGTTGGAAAACATAATAAAAACTATTACACCAGTTTGATTCTTGATATATATATATATATATATATATATATATATGTTTTAAAACATAATGAGATTTAATCAAATGTACATGGCAAAAAACTAGGATACAAAAATGGGTTGTTCATGTATCATGTATCATATCCATGTTTTCAGTGTTTCATGTCATGTTGATTAACTCACGTCCATTGCACACTCGTGGGCGGGCCAGTTCTGATCGTCCTCACCTACAACGAGCAGCAGAGGACACTGCAGTCGTCCCATCTGCTCAGAGACAAACAGCAGCAGCGTTTCAGATTGTAAATATAGAAGTATGACATTATCTACATAGCTTTAGCTTTGAAAAAGGGCCCTGTTGTGCTTTCTGGGCTTTTCCCTTTCCTGTAGGGAGTTATAAAGGTTGTTGTGCATGTTGGTGGTCTGCAAAGGCTACATTCCCTAATGGCGCATTTCCACTACACGGTCGGCCTCGGCCACACTCGGTACGGCTCGGTACGGCTTGGCCGCGTTGGGCCTTAACAGGGCCGACTCACTTCATGCTGCGCTTCCATTACAGTTTAGGAACTGGGGTAGTTACTATAGTAACGCAGTGTAGGCGGAGCCGTGACGTCATCTTCAATGAGAAATCCAGAAACACAACACAGCCGTTAGCTGTGAGCACTCAGAGCTCACAGCTCCTTATATATGTTCAGAAACTCGACAAAAGTTAAACAAGTACACACCACAGACTGCCTGTGTCATGGTGAATGCAGTCGCTGCTTTATTTATGTCTGTATAGGCCGTTGTTGTGAGTGTGGACGGTCGGGGCATATACTGCGTTAGCTTAGCCAATCTCCATCTAGAAAAACACGAATTTTAAAAGGTTTTTCGCCTGCCGTCTGTCTGCAGACTTGACAAAGCATTAATTCATGGTTTTTACTAACCGGTATCAGTATGTTGTTACTTCGGCATCATTTTGAAACGTGTATTACAATTAAATCACGGTCAAATATGTCCATCTTGTTGTAGTTCTAGCCCTCTTGCCAGCGCTCCTCTCTCTAGTTTAGCATACTCAGCCCGACTCAGCCCTGTTTGTTGGCCCCGATAGAACCACAATTTTCTAGGGCCAGAAAAGAGGGGAAAAAGTGGCCCCGCGCCGTGCCACGCCGGAACGAGGCCTAGTGGAAGCACAACCAAAAAAGGGGACGGCACGACACGGCACGCTTAAAGCGAGCTACGCGCTGCAATGGAAATGCGCCATAAGTGTATTTCCCACACACTCCACAGAGCAGACTGGGCTCTGGTTTCAGACAGAGGGTGAAAAGAGGTGCTGCAGCACAGGCAGTATGAGAAAAATAAAGAGCTTTTTGAACATTGAAGCATGGAGACATGTCACAGGAGAGACAATACATACTAATATGAACCTGAAAAGGAACACAAAAAGGCCCTTTTATATAGTACACAGTTTGTAAAAAAATAACAGAACAATTGGTGGTACTCACGTCCACTTTTAGTGAGGGGTCTGTCGGGATGGGCAGCAGCAAATCTCTCCAGATTACTTGGTTATTCTCGTCAAAGCGAGTCTTATCAGCGTTTCTGATTTAAAAAACAAAATAAGTTGTCTTGATGGTGGCAATATGAAAATATGATCTGCAGGTCATTCTATAGAGAAAAAGAAAGGCATAAAGATAACAGAAAGAAGATTAATTTACCCGTTAAAGTAAGCCAGTATTTGTTCCACACTTCCACCAATCGGCTGCACATGACTCCCACTGATACACACTGCACAGCTGAGCTAGGAGACAACGCACACATAGACACACACACACACACACACACACACATTCAGACACACACATACAAACACAGATCAGACAGCTGGACAAAATCAGGAAATCGGTAGGATAATACATGATGGTTCTGATCTCTTGCGGGTACTACGGGATGCTTTTTATCCACGGAGCGACCTCCAGACCTGGTGGACTACATTGACTTTTTTCTTTTTGTTCGGTCCTTAGGAGGACTTTCCCCTCTATGGTGATGGAGAGAGAGATCAGTTGGAACTGGAGCTAACAAAAACTGATAAATCAGTCCCTGTTTGTTGTGACAACAATCTCTCACCGGGCCAGAAAGCAGACGGTTTTTTTTGTTGCAAAGGCAGTTTTCCGATATGTGACTCCCAAACAACACAACATAGAAACGACCCGGGCAACACAATGCGTTCACTCCACTATCAGCTGCATGAACACAAGAGGAAAAGTGTTCAGGAAGAGCTTCAAGCTAATCTAGAATGAAGGGTAGCAGAAGAGTCCAACAGTGACCATTGTGCTGGTACGCAAGTCTGTTAGGTCAACTTGGTTCTGTGTTGACTATCAATAAGGCCATCAGATAAGCATACATTCAATGCTTATCTGATGGCCCGAGTTGAAGCTTTCCTGGATCAGCTAGGCCTTATTCCACTCCGTACAGTTGTTACTCATTTGTAGCACTTCCATTCAGGTTGTTGTTGAGACGTCGAAGCAGCATATGGACCAAATGGAGCCAACCTAGCGAAGGGTGCAGTTGGGCAAAGGGGGCTAAGGTATTTGGGCTAGCACAAACCAAAAAGAAAAGAGGTCAGGATGTTTATAGAGCTGGCTGGCTACTACAGAAGAAAAACTAGTGTAATTCCAGTGTTTTCAAAAGCTTAAAGGGGACCTATCATGCAAAATGCACTTTTGTACGTCTTTTATACATGAATATGTGTCCCCGGTGTGTCAGGGAACCCACCAAGTGTCAGAAAACACAACCCTCTCTCTTTTCCTCCATACCCAAATCTCTAAAAACGGGGCTGCAACGGAGCTGATAAAAACTGATCCAGATTTGAAATTGTTCTGACGTCAGAAATGGGGTGCTCCGCCTATATGGGCAACTCTCCACCTATCAGGGGAATGAGAGGTTGCGTGGCATGGTAACAGCATGGTAACAGCATGGTAACATGACGCTCGTGCCTCGCCCCCCTCCTTTGCAGGGGGGTCAAGTGAACAGAGCTGTGTCAGATGGCATTTGAGAGGGCCTTTTACCCATCCACAAAAATTAGTTCTGTTCCAGTTACGCGTTGAAGCTAGAGTTAGTTTGCACTTGGTTCAACTTGGTTCAACCCTTATCTTCAACCCTAAAGTCTAGGGTTGCGGTCGGATAATCCAAAAATCAGCTCCTAACGTCTAACCCTATCGTCTATTCCTTGACCTCTGAGTGAAACGTCATGGGGTTAAGGGATAGTGGGTAGGAGAATTCAAAAGGACTTAGGAGAAGAGACTGCGGTACTTTAGAGAATCCGACTGCACTTTCACTATCCGACGTGTTTATGATGCGCCAGCGGAGGTCATAAATGTGCGTCTGCTGCTGTGGGGAAACTATGGAAACTACAGTTTTCTATACAGCGGACTACAACATGGATGTTTAATAAGAAAGAGGGACTACTGTAAACTCATCTAGAGACTCTGCACCGTGCTTTGATGCTGTTGTTTTATGCTTTATGAACGTGGACAACAGAGAAACGTATTCTTCATGATGACCAAAGTTGGAATTGAAATAAAAAAGGAAAGTGAAACTTATGCTCGTCACCCTCTCCCTCCGGTCCACATTAATACAAATGATCCCAATACGTATGATTGTATGAACTATGAAAAGATCTTAAAATCAATACAAATGTATTTATTATAAACGTTAGTCCTTAACATCTATCACTGTGTATATCACCATTCAAACATCTTTTAAAAGTTGAACAAACCCCACACAGCTCAGTAAAGACTGTGAAATGTTGACTTTATTTGATCATTTCAGTAAAAACGAACGTTCATATTTCTCTTTTTGATTATAATACTGATGAACGTTCAAAACAAAGCACTTTGGCAACTTACCACATACGTTTTAAAAAGCTTAATAAGCACCGTAACTTTCATGATATAATTTATCGGTCATAATCGGTTGTTTCCGTGAACGGCCGACTGTTGTGTGACGGCAAATGCTGCGGCTGCAAGGCATTGTGGGGCAGCATTTTCTCCTCTCCTTTCAGTTAGGGAGGTCCAGTGGTTCCTAAGCTAAAGGAGGTTATAAAGGAAGTTTGAAACCTCCTTTCCTATCATCTAGAGAATTCGAACGGCACTTATCATGGCTGCCACTGAGGGACTTCCGGGTCATTTCACTCCGTTAGGAAGGTTCCTAAGCTAAATGGACTATTCGACTTCAGCCAAAGACCCCATACAGTGACAAGTGAAGAAAAACGTTTTAAAAGATAGTGTTGTTCAACATGATAACAATCTTAGCACTTCCGTGGTAGAGACAAGCTCTTATAGTTGACGTACATTGACGGTATGCAGTTTCTGTGAAATTAACAGACGTCAATATAATGAAAGTCACTAAGCTGGTCCTACCTTTACATCCTGGGAGTAAACAGCCATTCTGAGAGTGACACTGGTGCCAAAGGAAAGACCCAACATGGCGATCCTGCTGCCGAGGATCTGAGGATGCTGCTTCAGAACTCTATAGGCCGTCTGCAGAAGGAAAATATGTCAACAATACATTCATACATTGTAGAACTGTATGCTTTAAAATTACATGTATATACACGGATTTCCCTCACTGTTGTTGAGGATAAAGCTTTTGTACATCTTATTAAGAGTAAATATAACTTTCAGATGGACACAAACGCAACTGCAATGAGATGTTCATGTTCTTGGGAGTTTAAAAAACTGTATTTTTCGGTAGAAGCTCATCTGGTTTACCTCAAAGTAATCATTGTCCACCATTTTCCCAGTTTCCTTAGTGATTTGAGGTGTGAGGTAGTCGAGGGCCATCGAGGCGATGCCGTGGGAGGCCAGCAGCGCTGCCCGGTACTCCACCAACTTCCCTCCTCCCCCCCAAAGGTCCAAGAGTCCGGGGAAAGGACCAGCTCCTTCAGACGAGTCAAGATACCAAAGACAAATCAGAATGGATACAATATTATCTTGATTCTTCGGACAATGATATGATATTTGCTGATATCACAAAGTCTTCCACGATATAATTTGATTCAATTCAAGGCCTTGAACCTTGTCCCCTCTAAACTCCCCCCAGAGGACACTTCCCTTAAAGGTCCCCTATTATACTGTTTTTCATCAATATATTATAGGTCTCAGATCAAATCAAAATCAAATCAAGTTTTATTTATAAAACACATTTAAAAGCGATTTCTGCTGTACATGTAATAAAAACACATTACTACAATCACAATAAAAGACAATATATATGAAAAAAAAACATATATATATATAGATATATACAAAACATGTCTGCTCTAGGAGGAGATTCAGGTGATAAGTGGGGGGGGGGGTGATTGGCTAATGGTTACACAAGCCAAAAAATCATTATGACATCATAAAGTGGCCAAAATCTGATCAGCTCATTTTCAGACAGGTTTTTATATAAATGGATCAGGACAAAAAGAGAGAGAATCTTTTTTCCTGAAACTTTCAGAATCTCTTTACACAGAGGGGACACGTGCTTATGTATAAAAGACATGAAAAGGTGGATTTTGCATAATAGGTGACCTTTAAACTATCCCCCAGTCCTACCTGAGGGCAGGAAGAGGGTCGCAGTGAGTTTGCCGTCTGTTATCGGGACTCTTCGAACGCCAGGCGCCATGTACCATCGCTCTACCACCACACTGGCCAGCGACACTCGATCCAAGAAGCCCTCCATCTGGTGACCCTGGTACACCGAGATCGTCACCACCATGGGAGTCTGGACGTTCATCTTTCTCATTCTGAGGGATGAGGGGAAAGAGTCAACTCTAATACTGATTCTGTATTGATAGGTATTATTTGGTACTAATGTTGACCTACCTGAGCCCTGATTTGCTGCCTGGAACTGGTCTGAGGCTCCATAGCAGACCCATCGGTTCAACCCCAGAATATGTCCCGTCCAGACTGGGATCCTGTGAAACTGTATCGTAAAAGGGCATAAAATATTTCTCAATCGGTTTTCAAATAATTCCATAACTTTAAAAGAAAATGTGTTTTTATACTATAGGGAATGGGCATTTTGATGCATTCTTGGGCGAACGGGCCATCTTGTTAAGGCTTCTGTTTTTTGGAGAATATTGGCAGCCGTCAATATCAATCAACTTTCTACGGTCAGGTGTCAGCTGTTTTGAATCCAAAATAAATAAAGTAGGTGCAAAATACCCTTAGATAGAAACAACCAACAGATGCAGAGGAGTATTATTGTCGAGACGAAAGTCAATATTAAAATAGAGATAATAATATCTGATAAAAACGGTGAAGGGCACATTTTAAATCTGGCTCCAGTCCAGCAGGTGGTGACAGGGAGCCTAAAATCTGTGGTTCCACTAGAGATGTGGCTCAAAGAAGAGATTGAGTCACATATATAATGAGCCTGATGCAAAGCACCTGGAGATGCACACTCTCAGGACAAAAGACAGAAACAATTCACTGTGAGTGGCAGAGAGGAGAGGATTGACTCAAGGATTCACCCAAAGACACTGCTGGTAATATTTATAAATATATTTATCTGGTTTGAAGATATGTTTGATGGAAAACATTGAATTTCATTATTATTTTTAGTTAGTCTTACAAAGTATTAATCTAAAATATAAGAAACTGGAATTAATTTAATTTGTTGAGATGAATTTGCTTTTGACATGAAATGTTAAGTTTAATTGTCACTTGATTTACATTTAAAACCATAGAGCAGAAATTAAAGTGCATGTTTAAGTATGGCGTGATTTTAATTTAAATGTTTTATTTACCCCAAGTGAAGGAGTTCAAGCAGCGGGAGCGGTACTGCAGTCGCTTTACCGCACCGTTGTGACGAAAAGAGAGCTGAGCCAGAAGGCAAAGCTCTCTGTCTACCGGGCCATTTTCGTTCCTACCCTCACCTATGGTCATGAAGGATGGGTCATGACCGAAAGAACGAGATCGCGGATACAAGCGGCCGAGATGGGTTTTCTCCGCAGGGTGGCTGGCGTCTCCCTTAGGGATAAGGTGAGAAGTTCAGTCATCCGGGAGGGACTCAGAGTTGAACCGCTCCTCCTTCACTCCGAAAGGAGCCAGTTGAGGTGGTTCGGGCACCTGGTAAGGATGCCACCTGGGCGCCTCCCTAGGGAGGTGTTCCTGGCACGTCCAGCTTGGAGGAGACCGAGGGGTAGACCTAGGACCAGGTGGAGGGATTATATCTCTTCGCTGGCCTGGGAGCGCCTTGGGATCCCCCAGTCAGAGCTGGTTGATGTGGCCAGGGAAAGGAACGTTTGGGGCTCTCTGCTGGAACTGCTACCTCCGCAACCCGACCACGGATAAGCGGGAGAAGATGGATGGATGGATGTTTTATTTGCCTAAATTAATGAAAGTGTGTTTTGTGTTTTTTTTTTAAAGGTTTTCAACCTAAAACGTCTAAATGATGCAACATGGAAGCTAAATGAAGCTGCATGAATCTAAAATAACTCTACATGATCTCAAATAAAAAGGAAAGAGTCAAGACTGAGAACAGGCCATTTTCAAGTTTAGGCAGGAGTCAATCAGTCAATCAACCAAACCCAATCAGAACTTGACAATTATATTATTAAAGTTAATTAACGACAATGATCCTTATGAGGTAAGAGAAGAATGATCCGATCACTGTTAGTGATATCTGGTGTTTAGAATTAGCGCCTGCACCTTTTGGGAATTTATAAACCTTAGATATTTGGAGGACCATGTCCAATTTACAACAGGTGGGTATAGGACCTACAGACCCAATGACCAATTGTATCTGTACTAAAGTAAGACGGCTAATGTTGTGCTAACCGGATGGTAAAAAAAAGTTAGTTTTTCATGTGTAATTTATCTACTGGTACATTACTGTATTCTTTGATATTCCATGTTGAAAAGCGTATCCCCTGTGTAGTGGTTTTTCCAACTGAGGTTCTGCAATTCTTTGACACTTGAAGTTAAAAGTCATCAGTTGGCTGTGACCCAATGTATTCTGCGTATTTTGCTGATGTTCACTACCTCCCCACCGTTAAGTTTCCATGTTGGAAAAAGAATGAAATGTAATCTCATGGTACTTTTTATTGTTTTGGATGTGACACAACAGTGCTTACTGACCATGGCAAAAATATTTAAGCTGAACTGGTTAATGCTTTTAACGGACGCTGAAATCCTCCAAAGATGGCCGACTCACTGTTGATAATTTCCCATTCCCATGACACAAACTTCACCAACATTTTCTAAATTAATTTTACAGATTTTTTGAGGGTTGTTTGAAAAATATCACTCGCCACCGGCTTGAGCTTCAATCTCAGGATCCATGTATTTGTGATCATTGCAAGAATGGAAGTAGTCATCACATACAGAGCATCAACTAGTTCCTGAACAGTGTCCTTCACATGCTGATATACAAGAGAGGGAGTTACACAGTCACAAGATGGAGGAATACCGGTTCTTGTAGGGAATCATACATCCTGTCATGTACAAAGTTTTTTCTCAAAAAATCTCAACATTATGACTTTCTCTCAATATTCTGACCTTTTCTCAAAATCTCAAAATCATGACTTTCTGAATACTTAATGTTTAATCACTCATTACTGGCTTGAGCTTCAATCTCAGGATCCATGTATTTCTGATCCTCTCAAGAATGGAAGCAGTCATCACATACAGAGCATCAACTAGTTCCTGAACAGTGTCCTTCACATGCTGATATCCAAGAGAGGGAGTTACACAGTCACAAGATGGAGGAATATAAAGCAGTATTCAATGTTTAGTTCAGATTAGCTCCACGTCAGAAATGATCATGCTTGTGATATGTCTATCTCCATAGAGGCTGAATCATCATGTTAATCACATAGCTGTCATATGCCTAAAACAGTCTTGATGCTCTTCTAGGTAATCATACATCCTGTCATGTACACAGCTACAGTTGGGATACCTTTGTTATCATGTGGACTCTGATATTGAAGAGTACATTCACTATTTTCCCAACAAGGGTCTTACCGTTCACAGTCCCGGTGGCGTCGGTGGTGTAGTGAGCAAAAGCCTCCCAGCTGTGTCCGTCTTCACACTGGTGGAGGGCGTGGACGGTCAGCTGGAACCCAGGGAGGAGGTTCTGTACCAAGACGGTGAACTTCTCATCCACAAGCCCTCTGGACGGCTGGACCGACAGCTTCACACAAAGCGGCTTCATGCTCATTCTGAACTGAGCTGACAGACAAAATAACCAGAAAATGTTACTAAAAATGTCAGAAAGGATAGATGCCATTTTGATGCCAAGTATGTCATTTGTATCTATCTATCTATCCATCGAGTCCATCGATCTATATATCATCCCCAGCCATCCATCCACCATCCAGCCGCCAGCCAGCCATCCAGCCCACCATCTCAGATCAAGCAGCCATCCAGCCAGCCAGCCAGCCAGCCAGCCAGCAGTAGCGAGCTAGCCAGCCAGCGGACGAGCGAGCCAGCCAGCGTAGCGAGCCAGCCAGCGAGCGAGCCATGCATGCGAGCGAGCTAGCAGCCAGCGAGCGAGGAGCGAGCGAGGCCAGCCCAGCGAGTCGAGCCAGCCAGTCGAGCTGACACAGCCAGAGAGCGAGCGAGCCAGAAACCAGCCAGCGAGCGAGCGAGGCAGCGAGCGAGCGAGCCAGCCAGCCAGCCAGAGGGCCAGCCAGCGAGCGAGCGAGCGAGCCAGCCAGCGAGCGAGCCAGCGAGCGAGCCAGCAGCGAGCGAGCGAGCCAGCCAGCCAGCCAGCCAGCCAGCGGGCCAGCAGCGAGCGAGCCAGCCAGCCAGCCAGCCAGCGAGCCAGCGAGCGAGCGAGCGAGCCAGCCAGCGAGCGAGCGAGGCAGCGAGAGGAGCCAGCCAGCCAGCCAGAGGCCAGCCAGAGCGAGAGCGAGCCAGCCAGCGAGCGAGCCATCGAGCGAGCCAGCGAGAGCCAGCACAGCGAGCTAGCGAGCGAGCCAGCCAGAGAGCGAGCCATCCAGCCACAGCCAGCCAGCACAGCCAGCGGGCCAGCCAGCGAGCGAGCTAGCCAGCCAGCCAGCGAGCCAGCCAGCGAGCGAGCCATCCGATCTATCCATCCATCTATCCATCCATCCATCCATCCATCCATCTTTCCATCCATCTATCTATCTATCCATCCATCTATCTATTCATCTATCCATCCATCTATCTATCCATCCATCTATCTATCCATCCATCTATCTATCTATCCATCTATCCATCCATCCATCTATCCATCCATCTATCTAACCATCCATCTATCCATCCATCCATCCATCCATCCATCTATCCATCCATCTATCTATCTATCCATCCATCCATCTAGCCAGCATGTACTTTTAAGAATAAATCCAGATACCTTAACTCCAGTTGTACGAGGTTTCATTCAATCTACGAGACTATTTCCATTCCTTACACGCTTAATGTATAATATCCTGCTTTATATCTTGTTTACTGTAAATTGGTATTTCCACATGTATATTTTCTACTTTTTAATGCTGTTTTATTTCTATTTTGAGATGTTTCTATTTTAGAACTGTTTATTTCTACTCTTTTAATTTGTCTTATGTCCAATGCCTTGTATTTCAATGCAAAAATGTCCCAAATGGGGATCAATAAAGTGACTCTTATCTCATTATCTTATCTTATCTTAGAGTTGAACTTAAGGGTATGCTGGGGTACTTTCACATCCACACACACTCAACCAGTGTTTTTAAATCTATGGAAAAAAATAGCAACACATGTATGTCCCATGATAAAAATAATCCACTGAATGTGATGTAATCAGCAGGTGTATGTGATTCTAAATTGCAGAAAATATTTAGCCTCCTGTGTTTTATTCGTGCCTCTCATGTTTCTAATTAAAAAAAAAGTGACTTTATTTCTGAGAGGACCCTCATTTACGTTTTAAATCATGTGACATTAACTCCAGCTGTTAATTAAAAGTGACGCTATAGGGTATTTAAAAGTATACTAAGTACACTAACTGCTGTATACATAAGTAACCATGCCAGACCTTTGGCACACAAAATTAAACTGTAAAAGCATAAAACAACCCTAGAAATGGACACTTCAAATTAGCCAAAGCAAATTGTATGTTCAAGGTTCAAGGTTCAAGGTTTAAGGTTCAAGGTTCAAGGCTTGTCTTTGTCATACAAACATAGCTACAGTGTGGGTGTTTCTCAATCGCGAGTACGCTTGCTTGGTAGCACATGTCTGCCGAGCATCTTGCTTCAGAAGCGAGTCAAGAATACTTCCTGGCATTCGGAAAACGAAGTGTGGAACACGCTAGCAAGTGTGCAGGTGTGCGTCATATGAGAGGCTCCGCCTTACATCTTCCGCCACAGATTTGGGGAAATTGGTCCGTGCGCAAAGCATTGTGGGGATTTTAAGACCGCGAAGTCTACTCATGTGCAGACTCGATATTTCTCCAAACGGAGTATGCCGGGCTCGGTAGATTTCCAAGTATACTGGAGATTGGAACAGTACTTCGGCGGCACTCGATGACGTAGTATGCTTGAAATAGTGGCTCTGAAGCAGCTTTACTCGCGATTGAGAAACACCCACAGTCAATGGAAATCTGAGGTCACAGGCTCCTCCAACAGAGCAACACAATAAAACTGAAAAACTGAAAAAATAGTGCAAGACGTAAATGCAAAAAAAATAGTAAAATTGTGAAATAGTGAAAAAGAAGAGTCTATATACAAGTGATTGGAATATGATAAATTAGATCAATAATTTGTAAGCTGCAGCCAGATGAATGTTATGGATGTTCTTTCAAAAGTTCAGGTGTTTAACGATCTTACTAGATAAGGCTCTTTACAGAATCAGAGGACATTTAGACATGAACACTTTTGAAGTATGAACCCTTTATTTGTAGTTTTCTGTTAAGTATTTTAGAAAAACAGGTAGTAAACCATCATTGTTTTCCAGCTCAGGCATTACATTTACACTTTGTATTAGATGTTGTACTTGTTGCTCTGTAAAAATCAATTAAAAAAATGTCTATTACAGAACTTGAGTAAATGTACTTAGTTACATTTTACCACTGTAGAAGGATAAGTGGCAAAATACATAGTGTGGTATAAAGTATATTTACTCAAGTGCTTAAGTACAATTTTGAGATACTTGTACTTTACTTGAGTATTTTTTGCTACTTTGTACTTCTACTCCACTACAATTCAGAGGTAAATGGTGTACTTTTACTTCACTATATTTAATACCTTTAGTTACTTTACAGATCTGGATGAATGATGTGAAATATAATCAAGTGTTAAATCAGACTTTAGTTCCACCTGGAGTAAATTCACAAGCTACCCTGCAGTATACAAAGTCATTCAAACTAGCTGCACCTTTACCAGCTTTGAGAACACTTTAATGATCAATCATTATAAAACATATCATATATATTATTCTGAAATGGACCAATCTGCACAACGACTACTTTTACTGTCGCTACTTGAACTATATTTTGATGAGAATACTTTTCTACCTTTACTTGTGGAACATTTTGAATGCAGGACTTTTACTGTAACAGAGTATTCCTACACTCTGAGTACTTCTACTTTTACTCAAGTACAAGATCTGAGTACTTCTGCTTTTACTCAAGTACAAGATCTGAGTACTTCTACTTTTACTCAAGTACAAGAACTGAGTACTTCTGCTTTTACTCAAGTACAAGATCTGAGTACTTCTACTTTTACTCAAGTACAAGATCTGAGTACTTCTCCCACTTCTACAAGTACTTATATTCGAGTAATGGATCTATGTACTTCACTCCACTGCACAGATGCACTCTCCGTTAGATAATCGATGGCACAGTAAATCGGACTTAAACAGACATTAAAGTCGCCTCTAGTGAAGGGACAAACAGCTGAAACACGATGATGATCTGGATCTGTTTACTCACCGTAAATGTAACTGTAAAGTCAACACGGTGTCGCTTCAGACCCGCAGCATGGCTCGATTATTGGCTGCAAACTGACCTTTGGAGCTGCTTCCAGGTGTCGCCTTGTCAGTGTGTTTGATCTTTGGTACAGAACATAACGGTGAACTTTACTTTACAAAGACAGCCTGTTCTTAAGGTTTGATTTAGTTCATGAAGAGTCTAAAGTTCAGTAGGACCGAGTGGAGCTTTAAAGGGCCCATGTCATGTTTTTCCGGTTATTACCCATCCCCTTGTGTGTTATGAAGGTTTTTATGCATGTAAACGGTGTGCAGAGTCACAAACCCTCAAAGTACACCCTGTAGCGAGTAAAACTCTAACACAGAAAATACCTCCCCAAAACGCCTCGTTGGAGATACGTCACTGTCCATTTGATTCTTCCATTTCGTTCCGGGTACGGCATGATGTCAAGCCATACCTGGAACGAATGTGTATAATGTATTAGATGTTGTACTTGTTGCTCTGTAAAAATCAATTTAAAAAATGTCTATTACAGAACTTAGTAGAGTAAATGTACTTAGTTACATTTCACCACTGGAGAAGGGTAAGTGGCAAAATACATAGTGTGGTATAAAGTATATTTACTCAAGTGCTTAAGTACAATTTTCAGATACTTGTACTTTACTTGAGTTTTTCAGACTTTAGTTCCACCTGGAGTAAATTCACAAGCTACCCTGCAGTATACAAAGTCATTCAAACTAGCTGCACCTTTATGGGCTCAGAACAGTCTCATAATACACACATGCACACAGAAGGATTCACACTTGTATTTCATGATCCGCAAAAGGATTCACACTTGTATTTCCGGATCCACACTTGTGTTTGTCAATGCACACACAAATGTGTTCCGTTTCATATACATGTAAATAAAATCCAA